CAACAAATTTTTAATTTTAAAAGCATAGTTTCTGCAAAAATTTTCCTAGAATTAGCGAGATTTGCACATCAAACATTGATTTTTACAGAAACTAAAAAGTGAAGCTTTTTCTTGCTCTACCAAACTTCCTCGTTTTCTTTTCTCTTCTTCAAGACAGAATGGAAAATGCGATTTATTCGTTCTACCTTTTGCCAATCTCTTTCAGTAAACAAATTAACCAAAAGTTTTAAGTACCATTCTGAACAACGGTAATTTCCGGTGCTAAAGCAATGACGTGAGCCTATGAAAACGAGTGATTTATAAAGTTTAAGACTACAGAAATGTCGAATTGACAAGTGGACATTTATAAAAACTGCTAATAACAGCAAAAATAAATCGTTTTTATTTGAAGAAAAAAAAAAAAAAGATTTTCTCTTTATTGCTGAGTACAGAAACTTGGTATCAAAATAAATAATGAATTTTCTTTCTACCTACAGATGACGACTGTAAAAGTAACAGAAGATAAAGACCAATTGAGTTTTTTTTTGCTTATTAACCACTCTGATAAGTTACTCAATTATCTTCTCTGTTTTTTCATCTCTATTTTTTTTCACTTTTAATTCACAAGTTTTACCGATAAACAGCGGTGAAGAGGCCGATTTTTTTCTTAAGAGCTTCACTTTCCCACTTCAAGTTCTCCTATGAAGTCAAAAACAATAAATATTACTGAGCGTTTGAAAATTTTTTGTTTTGCTTTTTATCTTTCTACTCTTTCTTTCACTCAGACTTTCCTGTTGTCCATAAACGTTGCCAGGAGATAACAGGATTGGCTCCATTGGGAATTCAGCAACACAAAACAACTTTGTTACAAATGGATTATACATATATACATTTTTTTTCTTCCTCTAAGAAGTAGCAGAGTTTGAAAATAATACTGTTTTTTTGATGATTGTTTTGCTCGACAACTTCCGTTTTATTCCCCACTGTTTCCGCAATAATTTGCGACATTAAAAAGTGGTGATATAGTAGATTATTCTTCGTTTTGATGAACCATTTTTGCGCATGGTTCTCCAGCAAAAACTTTTCGTTAATTGTTTACAAAATTTCTTTTTTTTTTT